TTCTATTTCATCATCAGAATCTCACTGATTATTCTCTTCAGAGGACTTCATAGAGGCATTTGTATTAAATGATTCCTCTGGTGGAACAGAAGGTTTATTTTTTCTTGATTTAGGTAACATTTTCTGTCTGTCAGGATGAAGATCTAGACTGTCCTGAATGAGTGTCCAGAGACTAAAAATATCTATTGGAAGTTTTCCTGGACCATGCTTATCATAATATTGCTGTATTTTAATTCCAATATGCATCCAAATATCTGGGTCCAAAGTGCCTTGTTTAGGGACCAAGGACAAATCTTCTTTACAAATTCTAAAAATTTACACAATTGCTTACATTTTATTCTAGCACCTCTAGCCTTTAAAGTTTCTTTAAGTAAATATACATACCTCTGTTTTCTATTTGCTTGACCCATATTTATACTTTATTCTTTTTTTTTTTTTTGGAGTTGAGGACCAAACCCAGGGTCTTGTGCTTGCTAGGCAAGCACACTACCATTGAGCTAAATCCCCAACCCCTATACTTTACTCTTATTCACCAAATTTTGAACACCGGGTTTACTTTTTTATTTACACTTATGGCTTTTACTCTCAAATTAACTCATCACAGCTTCCATTTTTCCTGAGTACATTCCTTTTTCTTCTGTGGTGTCTATCACAAATTCCTCCATACCTGCCCCACATTGGTTGCCACCTGTAGGAGCTTGCGGACAGACAGCTGGGGAGCTGGGTAGAGGTGTGAGAATTGAAGAGACAATGAAGAAGACAGCAAAGAGTAAAGAGATCTGCTGGTCAATGCTGCACAGCCCCAAGTTTACTTCACTGCCAGCTTACATACAGTTTTGAAGGACAGAGATAGAACAATGCACAGGACAGGCATTCAGCCATTATCTATCCTGCCTTGCATCTAGGAACAGGCAGTTTCATTTTCTATCTCAATTTATACCACTGGAAGGCATCAGCAGCCTGCATCTAGCAAAACAGTATGTTCCCTCTTATGAGATATAATCAGGACTTTCTCACAGCCCTTCAAGGAGACTCTGTGGGCTAATCAGAACTTCCTCACAGCCTTGGAGCAGACAATCTTGAACTCTATTGACTCAGAATAGACTTCAGATTCAAACTGGGAAACTGAGTCAGTTGTGGGGTCGCACACTAGAAGGGCTCAGATGCTGAGGACTAAGGACCCCTGTATCAGTGTAACCTAAAAGAGGAGACAGGGATTACTTTGCAGAGATGAGATGCAGCCAGACTCAACTTGTATCTTTCACTTGGCTTTGCCATGAGAACAACAGAGGGATGGTGAACAGTGGCCTCACCACCCTCCCTGACCTCCCTCCTACATCCATAGTGATCACAGCTGTTGTTGTCCCTGGTTATCCATCATTATGAAAGTTAGGGAAGGAGTGTAACAGTCAAATGATCTTGGATAGAAAGTTACAACACAGCACATCACAAACCTTCTATCATTGAGTATGTTAAAAACAGTTTATTAACATGTAAATGTCATATGCATATTAGAGAAAACACAGAGAAATGAATAAGCCTCTAGATTACGTGGCAAAGAGTCTTTGCTTCTGCAGGGTATTTATCCACCAACCCCACAGTTTCCCAGAGGTTTCTTGAGTGCAAGCAGCAGAAAATATTAGATAGAAGGATTTAGATTGTGGAGATGAACAGATGGAAAATACAGGATAGCCTCAAGAGGGCCTGGAACCTATTTCAATAGGCCCTGAGTGTCTCTGCCCCAGGGTATTTATAAAGACACCAAGGGGTGGAGCAAAAGACCTTCCCCAACACAACAAAGTGCAAGCCATCTCTGATACCTGCACTCAGGCCCGTGGTCCAATCATCCTCTCTATGCAGACCTGCTGGGTAAAACCACGAGGAACCTGAAAATGGGCTCCCACAGGTCCTACTTTCTTAATATATAAAAAATAACTTGTTATTAAGAGTTCACAACAATCTCCATAGCTTTCCACCTCCCAGTATGGGAGTAGAGGATGATAAAGATGGCATTTCTCTTTTGGATTAAGTCCAAGGTGACTACAGCAGTCTTTAGCTGCATCAAGCCTGTCTAAACCAAAACCTTAATACAATTGCAAACTTAAAGAATCCCTTAGCTTCACCGTTACCATTAACAGGTTAACATAAATATTGTTATCCATAGTTACAATTCTCTCAATCTTACATCTTTAACTCTTAATAAAATCATTTGAATTTTCTTGCTAACAGAACATAGGAAAAACTTCTGATGTATTCTCAAACTTAAATATTTCCTTAACTCCACAAATCCAGGGTGCATTAATATCAATAGGGTAAACATAATTTCTGCAAACATACATTCAACCTTAATTCACTCATAACTCCTCCTTTTCTTTATAATTTTTTAAAACAAAATCTTGAACCTAGTTAGGGCTGGCAGATATTTTGTAAGTTTTGAACTGGTTTTGGTTCCATCTAAACCTGAGAGAGTATAATAAGAGGGAGGAAGCACATTCTGAGTGATCAGGACAAGGGAAAGAGAGATGGACTGCCACGATGAGTACTTTGGGAGACAGAACAAATTAATGAACCTATGGAAGTTCCCCACACACACTTAGTTACATTACACAATGAAGAGGAATCATTGTCATGGGACCCATTTTGTCCCTAAATTTTAGATGGTCAGGTCTCTTATGTATGGCTACGGAAATGACTGTTTGGTCTTAAATTAGATTCTGACACCGTGTTATAGAATATAGGTCAAGATACGGCCTTATGTATAAGAGTGGTGCATACACAAGCACCCAAAATGAAAAAATTTCAGCAAGAATTGACTGATATTGCAGAAAGTGAGAAACTATACTGAGGCTACTGAACAATGTATTTCTATGTAACAGGATAAACAATATATAGAGTTCAGACAGAAATTGAGGCTACAAAGAAGATGGAGGGGTAATATGGAAAATTGTTTGTCCCACAGGCATTAAGACGTGGTTGAAGAACAGCAGAATCCATGTAAATATGGAAGAAGTTTATGGGGCTGAGAAGTGTTCTACATAACTGTAATCAGGACAAGATGGACCAACTGGGTCCCAAGCATTCTATTGTATGAACCTATAGTAACATTCTCACTCTAAACCACAGTGACTTTGAAGTTATAGACCATGTGAAATCAGCTGTGATTGTCAGAGAGATTAACTCCAGTATGGGCAAACCCTGCCCTTTGTACTGACTATATTTGCCTGAACCAAGAGCACATCCATGGAAGTCTCTATCTGGTGAAAGTGCAATTTCATTTGCAAGGTGAGAGACCACTGCAGGGGCTGAAGCTAAAATCAGTACTTCTAGCAGGGCGTGGTGGCTCACACCTTTAATCCCAGCACTCAGGAGGCAGAGCCAGGATGATCTCTGTGAGTTGGACGCCAGCCTGGGTTACCAAGTGAGTTTCAGCAAAGGCGCAAAGCTACACAGAGGAACCCTGTCTCAAAAAATAAAAGAAACAAACAAAAAAGCTACTTCTAGGAAAGTTTCTCCAGGGTCAGCACCCAAAGTAGAAGGAAATTGTGCGATGGGGCTGACACTGTCCCAAGACAGTAGAACATGACAGCACTGTCTACACTGTACTAGATGTGTAGACAGGAAGTGCACCCTGGAGGTCACCATGACTCTCTGCAGCACTATTAAAGAGATCAGCCTCACCATAAATAGTTAGATATACAGTGTCCCTCCTAACTGTCCCTGTGAGGTCACACTTCATGGAACATGGTGATCGCTAAGTGGAATTGGAACCCCACCATACACTCCTGACTCAACTATAGGAAACTGGACTGTTTAGATAGTTTGAGCTATCTGTGCTTCAGTCCTGAGTGAATGACCCAGGACCAGTGTCCCTTCACTAGGGCGGTAAGCATGAGCTCCTAGCACACAGGTGGTGAATATGGACCTGAGTTTGTGAAACACCATGGAGACACTGGTAAAATTCTAGTTGAGCTCTCACGAAAACTAAATGGCTTACAGAGATTACTAGTTGAAAGTTTTCAAGGGAAAGAAGTACAGGTGGAAAACTGAGATGGATTTTGGGAGATCTTTGCAAGTAAATGTCAAAGAGTTGGACACTTAACTTTGTTCATTGATTATACAGTCTCTGTGTCCCTCATCAATACACTGTAGAGATGCCAATGTTCTCACAAAACTGTTTTAAAAGCTGTGGAGTCAGACTCATGTATGGCTCACACAGAATGTCAGTGCAGAGGAACAGGATTATTATTTATTTATTTATTTATTATTTACTTATTCGTAGGACAACATATTCAGACAAAGCCCACATTATACTCAACTGCTTTCACTCTTGTTTGTTTCATTTTGTTTTGTTTTGACTTTCCCTTTTTACTTAGATACAAGGTCTCTTTAAATTTCCCAGTCCAGACCATCATCTCTGGTCCATTTGTCAAGGAAACCGCAGAGCAGCTAGGAGCAAGGTTTGACTGATGACGGCTGGTTTGAAAATCATCTTTAAAAGGCACTTCTCATTCCCACATTAGTGTAATGCTTCATTAGTTTAAAGTAAAACAGAGTCAACGTGTTTATTTTTAAACGCTGTAGTAAGATTCAAATCATAACATATGGGCCATGGCTTTACAGGGCTAATATTCCTGTCAAAGGCTCGACTCACACTCATGTTTCTTATGTTGTGGATCTGGAGGTGAACACCAGGCTCCTGCCCCAGGGATGTCCTGCTGACTCAGCTTCTTCCTCCAATACTCTCCTGCAGGCACCCAGACTGGAATCCACAGTAGGAGAAAAGGCCACACCTGGGTTCCCACAATTCTTTCGCATAGACTTCTGGGAAATGTAGTCTCCGGCAGTGACGTCACGGTGAGCCAACCAGGAAATTCCTTCCTGGCCTTCAGTGCACATGTGTGTAACTTCCTCAAAGTTGGGCGAGAGTCCTGCCTGCTGTACATTCCTCTTGCGTCTCAGACATGGAGGTTGGTCCAGGGTGCAGCGCAGCCTGAGGCACTGTGCTGAGTGCAGGGATCGGTCTTGGAGGGGATGGACCTGGGTTTTGGAGAGAGAGAGCGCAGAAGAGGCTGCCTTGGTGCTGTGCTGAACTGGCTGGGACACGTGAGGTTGCAGGTCAGGGATGGGGAGAGGGCGATAGATAATGCTCCCTAAGTGATTTCCATAAGTTGCTGCTTGCCACCCGAGTTCCCCTTTGGCTTCTGGGACAGGAGAGCTGCCTAGTAGCGCGGAGTAGATGATAGTGCCAAGTCCAAGATTGCAAACTAATGATGCTCAGCTGACTGCCTGCTCCTGAGGGGGAGCTGGGAGCTCAGTGAGCAGCTTTGGTGGGGAAGCATGCTTCTGTAGCTGAGTCATTCTCACATGGACGCGGTCAGATTCTCAATATTTGTAGTGCAATTTGTAGGGTTTCTGGTCCTTCCTGAACTCTGCAGCCATCCTAATGTAAGGTCTTGAGGTCATGAATGGGATCTCTTCCAGTTAGAGAATTAAGAGAGAAAAATTTTGAAGTGAAACAAAGGTCACAGGTGGGAAATTGGGAGCCCGTCAACATATCTGCCAGAATCCGCTTCAATAGAAAAGCCTTGCCTAGGGTGAAAGAACACACATACACCCCACACACAGAGGGACCCTCTGCAGGAAGAATGGGAACTGGAGAAGCTGACTCCAGGCTTCACTTAAGGACTGTGTTTTCTTAACTTTGAAAGGTCTTCCATCCCTTCTGTCGGGTGGACCACAGTGGTTGTGTCAACATATTTTGATTTTGTCTAGGAAGTGTTGAGCTAGTCCATAAGCAGGGTGTCTAGGAACAGGTGAAAAACGTTCATGGACTTGTGTTCCAGTGCCAGGCTTTTGTGTCAGGTCAGTAGGGTGAGGAAGAGCTCACAGACTGTGTTTATTTACCTGATTTAAAGTAAACAGACCTATGATAGAAAAGAAACTTCAGTCTACTGTGTTGCACATCCTTGTCATCTCGACATTTGTGAAGGGAGACAGGACCCTCTGGTCCTCCCCTGCTTCATAGCAAATTCAAGGGTGCCTGGGATACCTGAGTCTGTGTCTGAAAACATTAAACTTCATGGTCATGAGAAATACTTTCTGTGTTCATTTCATGTTTCTTACAGTGAGCGCCATGACAAATCCATGCAATCAGCACATTGCTCACGTAAGAACTATTTGTGGTTAACTTCTGTTGACATGTTTCACGTGTAATTTAATGTTTTTTTCACTAACGTACTTTTTTTGTTGAAGACATTAACTTTTGGAGTCTAGGTAATTGTTTGCATTTACTCTGTGAAGAGGAATTCTCAATGCTTTACAAATATTCCTGTTTGTAGTGATTGTTCATTCTTTTTAGATATTAATCTGTGTTTGTTACTGTCATGACCTGATGCTGATTTCTTCTCATTTTATTTATTTCTTACAGGTTGCTCCTTTCATATCCAATCTGAGACTCCATTATATCTTCACTTCCATTCTGTAGTTCATGACTGATGTGGCTGCTGTGGTTACATTCCTGGGTCTTTTTCTGCAGCGGCAGCTGGGATGCCTTCCCCTGACCTTACACCAGAGGTTCCAGTGAGTGTATTTTAAGCACTATGTCCTTTGATCAGGACATAGGCTGCTCTGAACGGAAGGTCACTGCTGTTAGGAACCTGATCAGGAATCCAGTCCTCTCTTTGCATCTGGCCTGGACTTCCCACCAATCTTCAGTGTTGTCTGGTTCTCTGAAAAGGTGTCTCTGAGGGATACTGACAGGAGATGAATGCGTTTTTAATGTATCTACTCTGTCCATTCTGATGTTCTAGGCTTGCCTCTAGGACCAGTTTCTATTCTCTTTATATGATATATATTTACATTAATATATTATTGCTATTAATATCTTAATATTGTTAATGGTTTTAATTAAATGAAAGTGCAGTATCATTCATTGATCTTTATTTCAGGAAATGCTGTCCTTCTGGGATGTGGCCATTGAGTTCTCTGCAGAAGAGAGGGAATGCCTGGAGCCTGCTCAGTGGAATTTGTACAGGGATGTGATGTTGGAGAATTACAGCAACCTTGTGTTCCTTGGTGAGGCTCTCATCCATAGTGAATTCTTATTTCACCATCAACATGTAGCTTCCTCACTTTGTGTGGTATCTCATGGGAACATTTCATCAGCCATTTTCATATCCTTTGTTTTCAGAAAAATCAGGGAGATTGCTGTATTAAAAATGATTTCAGGACTGGTGAGATGGTTCAGTTGTTAATAGCATTGACTGCTCTTCTAGAGGATCGGGGTTCATTCCCCAACACCTATGTGGCAACTCACAACTGTCTGTAATCCCACGGTCTGACACTCTCATGTTGATTGTGTTCTGACAAATAAAGCTTGCTTGGAGTCAGAGGGTGATGCTAGCCATTAGCTGACCACAGAGCTTCAGAGGCTTGTAGAAAGATGGACCGGAAGTGGTAAGTCAGGGCTGAGACAGGATCCAGGATCCAAAGATGTAGGAAGTCACTATGTCTGTTCCCCTGCATCTCTGATCATTCAGGTTTTTCACCCCAATGCCTGACTCTAATTTTTTTATTTGTAGAGATTAATTTGATTAACATTTCATCCTCACACAGACATCCCTACAAGTAAAACACCAATGCACATGTAAAATTAAAATAACATATTCATAAAGAACCATTTCACTGTTTTTTCTCTTTGTGTTTTACATTTTTGTGTTAGGTGTATTTTTCCTTCACTCCAGTGGGACTCTCAGATTTCAATGGCATGAGACCTCAAGTACACTTATTAATTAAATTGTTTCAAAATTCAGGGGGTTTTTTTTGTTTGGTTGTTTTGGTTTGGTTCTTTTTGTTGTTTTTTGTATTTTTGCCTCCCCTTTGTGACTCTGGACAGTCCAGCCTGACAGAGATGAGTGCTTCCATGTGGGTCAACTTGATCCACTTAGAACAGCCACTTTAAAGCCATGAGCCTCCACGGCTGGCTATTTTTTAAAACAGTTTCTCACTGAATCTGCAGCTGCCATTCAGCTGAATTTGTGGACTGACAAGCCCCTAGGACTTGCCTGTCTTGCCCACCTAGTCTGGGGTTTCAGGTGTATGCCATTGGCCAACTTTTTATTTTTTATTAAGAGATTTTCTATTCATTTTGTGTATCAACCACAGATTCCCCTGTCTCCCTCCTCCCACGCACCAGACTCCCCTCCGCCCTTTCCACCTTCTCCAAGGCAATATCTTCCCTGTGGAGTCAGCAGAGTGTGGTAGATTCTGATGAGGCAGGTCCATTCCCCTCCTCCTTGTACCAAGGCTGAGCTAAGTGTCTCAGCATAGGCCCCAGGTTCCAGAAAGCCAGGTTGAGGAACTAAGTACAGGTCCCAGTCTCACTGCCTGGGGGCCCCCTAAACAGTTCAAGCTAAACAATTGTCTTGCTCATCCAGAGGGCCTACGCCAGTACCACAGGTGCTCCTCAGCTATTGGTTCACAGTTCTTGTGTTTCCACTAGTTTGGCTAGTTGTCTCTGTACTTTTTCCAATCATGCTGTCGATATCTCGTGCTATTTAATCCCTCCTCTCTCTCATCGATTGGACTCCTGGAGCTCCACCTGGGGCTTGGTCGTGGATCTCTGCATCTGCTTCCATCAGTCATTGGATGAGGGTTCTGTGACATTTAGGGTGTTTGTCCATCCGATCACCAGAGTAGGTCAGCTCAGGCACCCTCCTAACCATTGCCAGTAGTCTACAGTGGAGGTATCTTTGTGGATTCCTGGGAATCTCTCTAGCACTCTGCTTCTTCCTATTCCCATGGCATCTTCATTTATCATGGTATCTCTTTCCTTGTTCTCCCACTCTGTTCCTATTCCAGGTAGGACCTTCTGTCCCCTAAGCTCTCTTTCCCCTGACCCTTGCCCTCTATTACCCATCGTCACCCCCAGCTTGCTCATGTATATCTCATCCATTTCTCCATGCTGTAGGATCCTTGTGTCTTTTCCAATGTCCTCTTTTACAAGTTACCTTCCCTGGAGCTGTGAGTTGCAGTCTGGTTATCCTTTGTTTTACATTTGTATCCACTTATGAGTGAATACATACCATGTTTGTCTTTCTGAGTCTGGGTTACCTCACTTAGGATGATTTTTTCTAGTTCCATCCATTTACCTGCAAACCTCATGATGTCATTGTTTTTCTCTGTTGAGTAGTAACTCCAGTGTGTATGTGTACCACATTTTCTTTATCCATTCTTCAGTTGAGGGGCCTCTAGGTTGTTTCCAGGTTCTGGCTCTTAGAAATAATGCTTCGATGAGAATAGTTGAACATGTGTCCCTGTACTGTGATTGAGCATTCCTTGGGTATATGCCCAACAATAGTATAGCTGGGTCTTGAGGGAGATTGACTCCCAATTTTCTGAGAAAGCCCCTTATTGATTTCAAAAGTGGCTGTACAAGTTTGCATTTCAGCCAACAGTGTAGAAGTGTTCCCCTTGCTTCACATCCTCTCCAACATAAGCTGTCTTCAGTATTTTTGATCCTAGCCATTCTGACAGGTATAAGATGGTATCTCAGAATCGTTTTGATTTGCATTTCCCTGATAACTAAAGATGTTGAGCAATTCCTTAAATGTCTTTCAACCATTTGAGCTTCTTTTGAGAATTCTCTGTTTAGCTCTATAGCCCATTTTTTTAATCGGACTGTTAGGAATTTTGATGTCTAGTTGCTTGAGTTCTTTACATATTCTGGATATCAGCCCTTTGTCTGAGATGGGGTTGGTTAAGATCATTTCCCATTCTGTAGGCAGTCATTTTGTCTGATTGACAGTGTTCTTTGCCCTACAAAAGCTCTTCAGTTTCAAGAGGTCCCATTTATTAATTGTTTCTCTCAGTGTCTGTGCTCCTGGTGGTATATTTAGTAAGTGATCTCCAGTGCCAATGAGTTCAACACTACTTTTTACATTCTCTTCTATCAGGTTCAGAGTAACTGGATATATGTTGAGGTCTTTGATCCCCTTGGACTTAAGTGACAGATAGGGATCTATTTGCAATCTTCTACTTGTTGACATCCAGTTATACCAGTACCATTTGTTGAAGATGCTTTCTTTTTTCCATTGTACAGTTTTGGCTTCTTTGTCAAAAATTAGGTGTTCATACATGTGTGTATTAATGTCAGTGTCTTTGTTCAATTCCATTGGTTCATATGTCGGTTTTTATGCCAGTACCAAGCTGTTTTTTATTACTGTAGCTCTATAGTAGAGCTTGAGTCAGGAAACGTGATGCCTCCAGAGGTTGTTTAATTATACAAGATTCTTTTGGCTGTCCCGGGTTTTTTGTTTTTCCAATTGAAGTTGAGTGTTGTTTTTTCCTGGTCTGTGAAAATTGTGTTGGGATTTTGATGGGAATTGCACTGAATCTATAGATTGCTTGTGGTAAGATTGCCATTTTTACGATTTTAATCCTACCTATCCATGAGCATGGGACATCTTTCCATTTTCTGATATCTTCTTCAATGTCTTTCTTCAGGGACTTAAAGTTGTTGTCATACAGGTTCTTCACTTGCTTAGAGTTACCCCAAGGTATTTTATATTATTTGTGGATATTGTAAAGGGTGATGTTTCTTTGATTTCTTTCTCAGCCCATTTATCATTTGTATATAGGGGGGCTTCGGATTTTTTTGAGTTAATCTGGTTTCCTGTCATGCTACTGAAGGTGTTTATCAGCTGTAAAAGTTCCTTGGTCAAATGTTGGGGGTCAGTTATGTATACTATTATGTCATCTGCAAATAGTGAAAGTTTGATTTCTTCCTTTCCAATTTGTATCCCTGCGATCTCCTTTTCTTTTGTTGTCTTATTGCTCTACCTAAAACTTCAAGTACTATATTGAATAACTATGGGCAGAGGGAAGAGCCTTGTCTTGTTCCTGGTTTTAGTGGAATTGCTTTGAGTTTCTCTCCATTTTCTTTGATGTTGGCTGTTGGCTTGCTGTTAATTGCCTTTATTATGTTTAGGTATGTTCCCTGTATTCCTGATCTCTCCAAGACCTGTATCATGAAGGGGTGTTGGATTTTTGTCAAAGGTTTTTCCAGCATCTAATGAAACGATCATGTGATTTGTTTCTTTGAGTTTGTTTGTATGGTGTATTGCGCTGACAGACTTTCGTATGTTGAACCAACCTTGCATCTCTGGGATGAAGCCTACTTGATCATGGTGGATAACTGTTTTGATGTGTTCTTGGAGTCTGTTTGCCAATATTGTATTGAGTATTTTTACATCAGTGTTCATGAGGGAGATTGTTATGTAATTCTCTTTGTTGCATCTTTGTTTGGCTTGGAAATCAGAGTACCTGTAGCCTCATAGAAGGAGTTTGGTAATGTTCCTTCTGTTTCTATTGTGTGGAACAATTCAAAGAGTATTGGTATTAACTCTTTGAAGATCTGGTAGAATTCTGCATTGAAATCATCTGGTCCTGGGCTTTTTTGGGGTGGGGGGGTGCAGGTTGGAAAACTTTTAATGACTGTTTCTATTTCCTTAGGGGTTATTGGTCTATTTAAATAGTTTATGTGGTCTTGATTTAACTTAGGTATGAGGTATCTATGCAGAAAACTGTCAATTTCTTTTAGATTTTGCATTTTTGTGGAGTACAGGTTTTTGAAGTAGGACCTGGTCATTCTCTGGATTTCCTCATTGTCAGTTTTTATGTCTCCCTTTTCATTTCTGATTTTGCTAATTTGGATTCTCTCTCTCTGCCTTTTGGTTAGTCTGATTAAGGGCTTGTCTATCTTGTTGATTTTCTCCAAGAACCAACTCTTTGTTTCATTGATTCTTTGTATTGTTCTTTTTGTTTCTATATTATTGATTTCAGCTCTCAATTTGATTATTTCCTGGCATCTCTTCCTCCTGGGTGACTTTGCTTCTTCTTGTTCTAGAGCTTTCAGGTGTGCTGTTAAGTGGCTAGTGTGAGATTTCTCCCACTTCTTTATGTGGGCATTTAGTGCTATGACTTTTCCTCTTAGCACTGCTTTCATAGTGTCCCATAAGTTTGGATATGTAGTACATTCAGTTTCATTGACCTCTAGGAAGTCTTTGATTTCTTTCTTTATTTCTTCCTTGACCCATAGGTGATTCAGTTGAGCATTATTCAGTTTCTATTAGATTGTAGACTTTCTGTAATCCTTGTTGTTGTTGAAATCTAACTTTAAGCCATGGTGGTCTGATAGAATACAGGAGGTTATTCCAATTTTTTTTGTATGTGTTGAGATTTGCTTTGTGACCAAGTATGTGTTCGATTTTAGAGAAGGATCCATGGGTTGCTGAGAAGAGGTATATTCTTTTTTGTTAGGGTAGAAAGTTCTGTAGATATCACTAAGTCATTTGAGTCATAACATAAGTTAAGTCCCTTATTTCTCTGTTAAGTTTCAATTTGTCAGATCTGTCCAGTGGTGAGAGTGGGGTGTTGAAGTCTTCCACTATTAATGTTGGCTTTTAAATTGTAATTTAAGCTTTAGTAATGTTACTTTTACATATGTGGATGCCCTTGTGTGTGGGGCATAAATGTTCAGAATTGAAACTTCAATCTTGGTGGATGTTTCTTGTGATGAATATGTAATGTCCTTCTTGATCTCTTTTGATTGATTTTAGTTTGAAGTCTATTTTGTTGGTTATTAGGATAGCTATACCAGCTTACCCCTGAAGACCATTTGATTGGAAAGACCTTTCCCAGCCTTTTATTTTTAAGTAGTGTCTATCTTTGAAATTGAGGTGTGTTTCTTGTATGCCGCAGAAAGATGGGTCCTGTTCCCATTCTGTTACCCTGTGTCTTTTTATAGGTGAATTAAGTCCATTGATATTAAGGGTTATTAATGACCTGTGATATTAGTTCCTGTTATCTTTTGGTGGTAGTGTGTGTGTATTTCTCTTCTTTGGAATTTACTGCTGTGTGGTTATCTAATGCCTTCATTTTTGTGGGTGTATCTGACTTACTTTGGTTGGAATTTTCATTCTAGTGCATTCTGTAGGGCTGGATTTGTGGATAAGATTGTTTAAATCTGGCTTGGTCTTGGAATGTCTTGTTCACACCATCTATGGTGGTTGAAAATTTTGGTAGGTATATTAGTCTAGGCTGACATCCATGGTCTCTTACTGTCTGCATTACATCTGTCCAGGACCTTCTGGCTTTCAAAGTCTTCATTGAGAAATCTGGTGTTATATTGATGGGTTTGCTTTTATAAGTCACTTGGCCTTTTTCCTTTGCTGCTCTTAATATTCTTTCTTTATTCTGTAGGTTCAGTTTCATTATTACGTTGTGAGGGGACTTTTTGGGGAATCTTGTCTGTTTGTTGTTCTATGGGTTTCTTGTGTCTTCATAGGCATTTTTTTCTTTAAGTTGGGAAAGTTTTCTTCTATGATCTTGTTGAATATATTTTCTATGCCTTTGAGTTGGTATTCTTCTCCTTCTTCCATCTCTATTATTTGTAGGTTTGGCCTTTTCATGGTGTCCCAGATTTTCTGGATGTTTTGTGTGATGACTTTTTTGTCTTTGGTATTTTCTTTGACTGATGAATCCATTTTCTCTATTGTATCCTCTACACCAGAGATCCTCTCTTCCATCTCTTGTTTTTGTTGGTTATGTTTGCATCTGTGTTTCCTGTTCATTTACTCAGAATTTCTTTTCAGCATTTTCTCTCTTTGTGTCTTCTTCATTGATTCTGTTTCCCATTTCAGGTCTTGAACTGTATTCCTCACATGTTTAATTGCCTTTTCATGGATTTCTTGGCTTTCTTTAAGGGATTTATTGATTTCTTTCAATTTTTTTTCTTTCCTTTTTTTTTTTTTTTCTTTTTGGTTTTTCGAGACAGGGTTTCTCTGTGTAGCTTTGTGCCTTTCCTGGAACTTGGTTTGTAGACCAGGCTGGCCTTGAACTCACAGAGATCCCCCTGCCTCGGCCTCCTGAGTGCTGGGATTAAAGGGGTGTGCCACCACTGCCCAGCTCAATTTTTTATTTATCTTTTCCTCTATTTCTTTTTTGATTTCTTCCAATTTTTTGTTTCTCGTTTCCTCCATTTCATTTTTGATTTTTTCTTGAAAGGCCTCTAGCATCTTCATGATGCTATTCTTAAGGTCACTTTCTTCTGCTTCTTCTACCTTGTGAGGTTCAGCTATTGCTGCTGGAGGAGAGCTAGGTTCTGGTGATGCCGTATTGCTCTTTATGTTGTTGTATGTATTTTTGCCTTGATGTCTGACCATGTACTCCTCTGTTGGTCCAATGAGAGCTGGCAGTTTGGTTTCTATGCCTCAGGAAGTTGTTGAGGTCTCAGGTGGATGTGTATGGGGGCATGGCGTGTAGATTGCAGGATACAGTGGGGAGTTTTGGTGAGGTGGTCCTTCTGGTAGGGGTTTTGCCTGCTGTCTGGCAACAGGGACAGATTTGGGTAGTGGTAACCCGGGAACTGGTTGTGTCCCTGGGATGGGTCCTAGGGGCCTGATAATCAGTTTTACTGAGTTTTTCTTATCATTAAATGAAACTTAGAAAATGGTTATTGTAAATTCCTTTATGTAGTGTAGTGATTCTGTCAGAAAATATTTAAGGAACTGATTGTCTGCAATCATTTATTTCATCATCTCTTTCCTTATAAGCCATGTACTGGAAGGAACATGTCAATTCCAAGTAAAAGAACACATAAACAATCTTGTTCCTTCTTTTTCTGCAAACAGGTCTTGCTGTGTCTAAGCCACACCTGGT